AATAACACTATCATTCTAGAAAAGTAAACTTACCTGTTTCAGTAAGTTTTGAGGTGTACGTGAGTCTGTGGACATGTTTATCAGTAGCTTTTCAAATGAAAAAGCTGCAGGTTCACAGTTTTTTTGCARGTCCTGAAACCATATAATACAAATCAATTAGGTTGCAGCGGTTACAATTTATTTAATTTTATCAGTGATTCTATTTAAGAGCACTTGATTTTGGAATATAATTTTATTGAAAATCACAACAGTGGTAGTGAAAGAAACAAAATGAAAAAAATATATATACGTATATTATATACCTGGAAAATTTTCTCAGCTCCATCGAGCCAACCAGGCTGTGTAAAGTAAACGCTTTCGGATATAACATAACCTGTAGACACATTGCACGTATAAGCACGTGGCATAACAATGAGGAACTGGCCTGGTTTTTGCACTGTCCGGGTGAGTGTGACTCCGTGCTCTAGCAACAGAGTGGGCGGCACCATGCCGCTATCTGCGGCCAGCCACGTGTGGTAGTTCTGACCTTCAGCTACGGCTCGAGGCAATAGGCGCTTCATGGCTGTCTGAAACCGGTCGCTTTGGCAGGATGAAACACCATACCACACCTTGTCGGCACCGGTATGCAGATACTCAATCCACGGCAACCCATGGGGATCTTTGTACCAGCAGCACGCTGAGAACACCATACCCATGTGTATGGTTGGTACAGTCATGCCCATTACTGGACCCAGCGACTTGAGCACAGACACTGGGTTATTAGTGAGCACCTTCAGGTTCCATGGGTGTTTGGTGAATGTGGCCGTTTTGGTTGTTGGAAACCCATAGCCTTCAGYTCCTGAATCGATTGAACCAGATAGAACACATATGTGGTTTTTCCTATCCTGCACGTTTTTCCAGTAGAGTGACTCAACGTCTTCAGCTCGGACCACTGCTGCTGCTGCTGTTGACGTTGATGACGARTGTCCGCCGGAAGGTTGTTGTTGCTGCTGCTGATCCTTGAACCACATGGCAATGGTGTTGCGCGCTACCCGGTAATAAGCGCTCAACGCGATACTTCGACCCTTTGCAACACAAATGAACCAAAAAATCAAA